TAAGTTTTTAGTGTGAATAATTGGTGCGCGCTTCATGAGATATGCATATGCCTACGTGAAAAGTCTGTATGATGAACACATTAATAACTCACACAAAACTGAAAAAAATTTCTGAATGTAAATCTAAATTCCACATATGAGTTATACTTTGTAATATCTCAAACATGCCATAGAGTAGTCCTTTTAAATTAAATTTCTCTGGTTTATTAAACTAAGTAAACATCAAAACAGTACTTTGGTAGTTACCTCTTCTGCCAATTTAGAACTTAGCTCATTTCATTCAGAAAGCAAATAATCATTTTTAGAGATATAACTTGCAAACAGCTGATTTACTCAAAACTAAATATACTGTCATATTAAACATATGTATTATTCACGGGTAGGTTCTAACCTTTTCGTTCATTCAGGTATACACCATATGTTTGGGGTTTTTTTTAATTTCTTAAATAAGTTGAGCTTTTCATCTTTGCAATGTTCATGTACCAGATATTTCATTTAAACTTTTAAAACATATTACTCTTTCTATTTATTAGGATTTATAACCAAGCTGCAGTTGCTGTTTATTTCTGGGCTGCTAAACTGAACTTACTGTACAATGCATTATTATTTAAACAACAAAATGCTTTCTTTGTTTGTTATTACTGGAATGAAAGGAAGCAGCTGTTGCAGAAAAAATACATAACCCGCGTAAGCGGGTTATGTAAATTTTTTCTGCAATAGCTGCGACCGTTCATTCCAGTAATAACAAACAAAGAAAGATATTTTATTGTTTATATTTATATATGTTTAATTAATAAATTAAAGTAGGATTAAAAAGATTAATTATTGTATTAATGATGCAAACGTCTTTATACGTTTCATTGATGGAACAGCCACTGATTAAGAAATCTGTACAGGCGACATGCTTACTGTAGTTTATGCAGGAGAAAAAGGAGAAAATATTTAGTGGATGTAAATATTCACTGGTAAGTTTAAACTTTTTCATTCATTCATTCATTCATTCATGTACAACAAATGCTTGCCTTTTTATATTTCTTTAATAAGTTGATCTTTTTTTTTTTTGCAGAGAACAAGAAATTTCATTTAAACTTTTCCAACAAAGGAGATGGGTTAACATGACGAGCAAAGAGCCTTTTGCTTCACAAAGATGAAGGTGAAAAACTGGATTTTGCGTAATATTTCATCTAACATGAATGTATACTTTATGTAAAATCTACAACTTGAAAAAATCTCATGAAGTCATTTGCCTTTGAACTATTATACACACATAAAAGATAGCAAAAACAGTCATTTTCTGACACTATAACAATTAACACTATTTTATATATTATATGTAATACAATTGAACAAAAGAAACAATTTTGCTTTCCACAGACCATAATGAAAACTTTAAACTTGTCAACCTCATGGAACCAAATAACGTAAACAATTACAGTAGTGTAGACAATTCCATTAATGTAAACAATGTCACAGGTGTACACAACTCCAGTTATGTAAACAATTCCAGTAGTGTAAACAATTACAGTAGTGTAGACAATTCCATTAATGTAAACAATGTCACAGGTGTACTCAACTCCAGTTATGTAAACAATTACAGTAGTGTAAACAATTACAGTAGTGTAAACAATTACCGTAATGTAAACAATTCCAGTAGTGTAGACAATTACAGTAGGGTAGACAATTACAGTTGTGTAGACAATTACAGTAGTGTAGACAATTACCGTAGTGTAGACAATTACCGTAGTGTAAACAATTACAGTAGTGTTAACAATTACAGTAATGTAGACAATTCCAGTAGTGTAAACAATTACAGTAGTGTAAACAATTACAGTAGTGTAAACAATTACAGTAGTGTAAACAATTACAGTAGTGTAAACAATTACAGTAGTGTAGACAATTACAGTAGTGTAAACAATTACAGTAGTGTAAACAATTACAGTAGTGTAAACAATTACAGTAGTGTAAACAATTACAGTAGTGTAGACAATTCCAGTAGTGAAAACAATTACAGTAGTGTAAACAATTACAGTAGTGTAGACAATTCCATTAAAGTAAACAATGCCAGCAGTGTACTCAACTCCAGTTATGTAAACAATTCCAATAGTGTAAACAATTACAGTAGTGTAGACAATTCCATTAATGTAAACAATGCCAGCAGTGTACTCAACTCCAGTTATGTAAACAATTCCAGTACTGTAAACAATTACAGTAGTGTAGACAATTTCATTAATGTAAACAATGCCAGCAGTGTACTCAACTCCAGTTATGTAAACAATTCCAGTAGTGTAAACAATTACAGTAGTGTAGACAATTTCATTAATGTAAACAATGCCAGCAGTGTACTCAACTCCAGTTTTGTAAACAATTCCAGTAGTGTAAACAATTACAGTAGTGTAGACAATTTCATTAATGTAAACAATGCCAGCAATGTACTCAACTCCAGTTATGTAAACAATTCCAGTAGTGTAAACAATTACAGTAGTCTAGACAATTCCAGTAATGTAAACAATGCCAGCAATGTACTCAACTCCAGTTATGTAAACAATTCCAGTAGTGTAAACAATTACAGTAGTGTAGACAATTACAGTAATGTAAACCATTCAAGTAATCATTAATGTAAACAATTTCAGTAATGTAAACAATTCCAGTAATCTAAACTATTTCAGTTATGTAAACAATTCCAGTAATATAACAATAACAATTAAAGTAATGTAAACAATTTCAGATTGTAAACCATTCCAGTAATGTTAAATTCCAGCAGTGTATATCTCAGCAGACTCCAGGAGTCATGGTTACATTGTCTATAGCGATGTCACCCTGATAACTCCATCCTCGGATGCCTTTAATGTCAACCTGTCAATACATGTACACATGTATTTGCATACCATATAACTTTTTGTTTATACTATAATGAATTCATCGTTTATGACGACATAAATTATTTTATTATTAAATTGATTACCAATTAGGTTTTGAAATATCTAAAAACCACTTTAAATTTTCTCAATCTACTGTAACTAGATATGTGTTCAATTCAAAAAGATATATCAGGCAAATATTAATTTGCACATTTTTATGAGAAAAAATACTCAATGTCATTAATATGATTTCAATTTCAGAGCTTTATCTAAAGTAAGATCATTTTGTCTCCCATTTCAGTCTTTGTTTTTTTTTCTTTAATTCCTTATTTTTGTTTTCAAAACAAAATTCAACCCGTTATATAATTCATTGTTTAAGTCAATAACAGTAAAAATATGTATCTTGTTTGTCAAAACAAAATAAAATTTTATAATACTACATACGTTTACATATCCATCTTTGCACAGAAATGCACAATATAAAGAAAAATGCAATAAGCAATGAAAAATATAAAGTAAAATCCCCCCCTACTCCCCTTCCCTCCTTAAAAAACCCTATCAAGTTAATTTAATCAAAATTATAATAATTCGTTAATTTACCACAAGGTTAGCCGTTGAAGGAATGGTAACCCTTTGAGTAAGCCAGTTGATTCCCTTATTTCCAGATGTATACCATAAGGTCGACAGTGATCCAGACGATCCAGCATTCACTTGTAATGTTCCAATATGTCTGCCATACATATTGTACGCGAAGGAAAGGCACCATGTCTGCTGGGCTGTATTTATTTGAAATAGGAATTGTTAAGTGAAATACTCAGAGGGCCAACTTTTGAGGTTAGAAATGCTGTATTTTATATATACAGAGAAAACTGTCTAATCTGAATTATCCAACACACTGTGAATAACGACGTTAAATTTCATTTCCATTTTAACATTTTCCTTGCATTCAACACTTTGCAATCTGACACCCTGTCTTTTCCGACACAAAATTTGTCTCCCAGTGCATGTCCAGTTAGACAGGTTTTATTGTACTTATAATTATGAGCGAAGTCCGGAATAGTAAGACGGAGTATATACTAACCAAACACTGTCCCTGTGGTGGTCAGTATGTAGGTGGCTCCCCAGCGTTGACCAGAGGCTTCAGTGTAAGCAAACGTCCCATCAATAGGTAACTGGGGACCTGTGAAGCGGCTTGGCGTGCTCTATAACAGAGATGTATTACTAATAAACTGGATAGACTACACTCCTCTAATTAGCTTAAGAATTTGAAAGGAAGATCCCATTTTGGAAATTTCCGAAGGTTCGTGTTTTTTTTTCTGTAACTTTATTTCACTATAATGTTTACAGTCTGTTAATTTTTTTTCATATGAGAAGAAGATTTTTATAGTTCTTCTTTCCCTATATATTTCCATGTAAAATTTGGATTCCCCATTTTTTAATTCCCAATGACCCCACCCTTTTTGAACAAACTTGAATCTTTCACCCAAGGACACTTTGTTGAGATATGAACTTGAGAAGAAAAAATTATTATGGACAGCTTCACCTCTCGGACAAAATGTTTCAAAAAGCTCACTTGCCCTTGAGGCCGATCCACCCTCACCTGAAAATTGGTCTAAAAAAGCAGAAGACCAGTTTCATAATTTTAAACTATAGATCTTTATCAATCTATGGCTTTAAACAGAAGAGTCCCTATATATTCATTTGGGCATATCGATTTTCACCTGATTGGAATAATTGGTATAAAAGTTTTTTCCTATATCTTAAAACAAGATTAATCAAGTTTGTCATGATAAACAAATTTGACACACAGACATTTAAATATGACAGGACAAAAACAATAATATAAACTAAAACTTTCATCGATCAGAGGGCATAACAAATCCATATTACTAGTTGTTCAAAAGTAATGGCCAATAGCAGGGTTAAAGGTTTTAACAACGTGGGTCAAATTTTAAGGTCAAAGTTAAAAGTGTGAAAATATTAATTAGGCAGGTCTTGTCATAATTTACTTCATAGTATGACCTAAGTATGATAGTCTTCAGTAATTTCTAACAAAAAAGTTATTAATACCAAGGTCTTGTAAAAGTTACATTTTTTTAAGTATGATAGTATAAAAGTCAAAAGTTTAACAAAGTTAAGGATTTTTTAGTGGGTCTTACTAAGGTCAAGAGGTTAAATATGGTGGTACCGTGCAAATACCTGTGAAATATAAGAGGCATAACCCCAAGCATTCAACATTATGGCTTAGGTGAATATCTTTGCGGACAAACAGACAGACAGATAGAATGACAGCATAAAAAAATATACCCCCATCCTCCTTATTAAACATGGATGCTGTATTTTTTATTAATTAATAACTTTCATGATATTAGTTAGCAACAATTGAAAGCTTATTACCGTTCCAAATGACCAGTCTGCAGAGTCATGGTTGGACTGTACCAGGAAAGAGCAGCTGCCTCCAGTAAAAGTACAAGATGTAGTTCCAACTGAAAAAGCAAATTTTAGAAAGCTGTGAAGCAAATGGAACAAATAGCCACATACAAGAAGGCTTATTTATGTATGTTTATGTCTCTGACAGAAGAAAAGAATAAAAGAAACATTTTGAAAAAGTTAGAAAGCAAACAAATTCCTGCAATTTTTTAGGGCACTTCTGCAAATAAAGTGGGCCTATTTCAATATTTAGTAATTGGTTTTTCGATTGTTTCCGGTGGCTATGTAAACGGTGCTATCTATTGATCATCAGACCTAATTGTGCTTGGATTATAAAGTGTACAGTATTGAATAATTTAAGGTGATGTTACAATAAAATACATTCTATGTGGTATTTGAATCATTTCAAAACACGTGCAACATATGATAGCGACGAGCTTCAGCACTGAGAAAAAGAAAATCAAAACTATAGGTACATGTACATTAATTTATGACTTTCATCGGTAAATGCCGAATCTGGCACCTTACTTGAGGTAAAAAAGCAAAGCACAACTAAAATTGTAATAATCTGTAGTGAAGGGCTTAAATGAGTGCTTTTCTGAAAATCAAAACTAATTTTAATTCAGAGCCTACAGGGAGACCGCAAGATGGTGCAGAAGTAGGACATTTACAATTTCCCAGATCTGGTGAAATTTCGCCAAATATGAGATACATGTGATACTTTTCTATTAGGAAAAATAGAGCACAAGTTTGCCTGTCTGAATTTTTATACAGAAGATACAAATGATACTAGTGTATGAAATTTAAAGAAAAGGAAGATGGACAAGGTTCTGCTCTATGCTTCTTGAAGCAAAATGTGATGTAAAACCAATGGAAACTGCATACATAATGAAAATTATTTTGAGATATTCATTTTCTTACTTACATGTGACCTTTGTGTATCCTTTGCATGTATGGCTTTTCCCTTCTATTTGGCTTTTATATCACTTAGGGTGTTCAATACACCCAATAGAATTTTTAACTATATTTATTAAGTTTATAAATAAAGCGAATATATATATAAAACATTCCATTCGCTAGATTTTTCCCTCTTTCAAAGCTTATTTAAAAGCAAATTATTTTTTCAATACAAATTTGGTCGTTTTTGAAAATGCATAAAAAGAATAACCTGTATAAACAAACTGTATAAATTCAGCGAAAAAAAACCACCAGATTGTTCCATGTTGATGTATACATGTACCTTAAAATTGCCGATATATTTTGCTTTTTACAATTTATTATATATATTTGCCTGTGTATTTTTCTAAACAAAGAAAGATTCGAGAAGGAGAAAAATCCTGGCTTCCAGTTCATTTCCTCTCAAATCGAATATTTCAAATAAAAAAATGTTTTTCTTTGTTATTTTATTATCTGCATGTATTCCGGACTTTACAATGACAGGAATGATTCCTAACCGAAGCCTAATCACACGTATAGATAA